ACCACTCAGTCTCTCTCCATAAGGCTCCGGAGAAAAGAAGGCAGAAAAAGATTAATATAGACGAAGCTGAAGGTAAAGACGATACAACCTGCCTCTCTCTCTCTTTTGTTTCTGTAGCTTTGATGTTCTGATCACACTAACCGTTTGCCTGCCTGCCATTTTGCAGCAGCAGCAGCATCAAATGCTTTCAAAGCTAGCTAGCTACATGTAGCTCAGTCTCCCTGCTCACTCTGAATGTAGCTTTGACTTGTTTAACTGATTGAAACACACCCTCTGCTGCATGTTTTCTTCATTGTATAGGATGTGTTGGCCTGTTTCCAAGATCTTTTTTTTATGTATTTGTTTGCTTGTGTTTTGTGTGCGCCTGCACACACCTGTGTGTATGTGCTTATGTGTCTGTACACCTGTTTATGTATGTTGTGTGTGTGCGCGTGCCTGCAGAGTTCTTCGACCTCATATCCAAAGCTCAGAGCAACCGAGCAGACGACCAGCGAGGCCTGCTAAACAAAAGTGACCTGCAGCTCCCAGACTTTCTGCGCCTGTCGCCCGTGGCAACCAACCAGGCTGGGCCTCCTCTTTATGAAACTGAGCCAGGTTGCTCAACTCCTCATTCCCGTCACTCCAACAATGGCAGCTTCCCTAGCAGCGGTCGCCAGGGCACCAAGGCAAACAGTAATGACAGGGGAGGAGGCAGCACCCACTTGCTCAACGCGAGCCATCATTCCCAGAGTTTGGACTCTGCACTGGGCAATGAGAGTAGAGGGGGGAGGAAAACCGGTCCCCGGCCTCAATTTCCTGGCACCATCTCCCCCATCCATCCATCCCAGGGTGCCCAGTGTGGTTTCCATCTAGACTCTGTCAGGGGAGAATCCGTCCAGATGCTGGAGGAGGACACCCTGTCTGACCTGACTCTTGTTGGAGAAGGGGACATTAACTGCACCAGCCTAAACTACGTCACTCCCTCAGCCCTAGAGTGCAACCCCCATCCCCGACAAGAAGCACAAGATGGTCAGCCAAGCTCAGGTACTTCCCCAGTGTGAACTCTTGAAACTTTGGACCCAATAAAGTCAGCTTGAAGTACCTTGTTGGTTTTTGGCCCAGAATGCATCCTGCTTTCCCCTCTTGATTTCATAAATCGCTTTCTTCAATTTAAACAAAATAATAGAACTTTAAAATACATATTGAATTGTAAATACAGTAAATATTGTAAAGGACTGAGCTGAATAATTCATGATTTGAAATGGTGAAGAATGTACTAGCCTGTCACCAGCATGTACAGCAAGTCAACAACAGCCTTAAGAGAAAAAAAAAGTCAGGCACATGGAGAAAGATTGATGCATTATGCACATGCGTGTGTGCGTGTGTATAACTTGTCCAAGTTATTTCTTTGCATGGAGTGTATCTGTGTGACCTTTTCAGCTGCTTGCAGTGGATTTTCTTCTGGAAATGTTAGCTTTAGGTTTAGTACAGGATGAATTGTTATTGACTCGCGTCATCAATCCTGATTCCCACCTCCAGTGTACAGAATCTAACAATGCACTTTAGCCAAATATAAACACAATCACAATCACAAACATTCCACATTTTTAAGAATCATTTTCTACCTTCTTTTTTTGCAAACTTTGACCAGTCAAAGTTTCAGTTTATTGCTACTAAGTTTGAGCTGCTATCAAGCGGACAAACACTCGTTTTCTAATAATCAATTGATGCTCTAAATCCACACAAGTATGAAGAATACATCACTACACCTTTGGGTTGACCATGTTTTATTCACAACTCATTACTTTTTTTTTGGACTCTGCATTTTAGTTTAGTTTAACATTTCTCAGACACACACATTTGCGCCGCTGATGATTGACACAAGCAAAGTTTTTTCTGTTTCCATCACTTTTCTCTCCCTCAGGCATTTCTTGTCTCATGAAAACAGACTTAGCGAATGATATACATGCAATCTTGTTGTTCAGCAAATTATATGAAAGCATCTGCACTGAGCAGTTTTCTGTTTTTCATCTCCAGAAATCTTCTTTACACTTCATCAAACAGCAGCATATTTATTCCTTATCCACAGTCGAGCAATTCTTCAGTGTTTTGAACTGTCTTTTCTTGCTAGATTTTAGCTGGAAGATTTGGACTTACAAGTCTAAAAAGGTTTTACTCTTATTTTATCCTTCTTTTCACTTTTATGATCCGTCAGTTAAGTATTAATTCTTATATCCTCATCTTTGTTAAATCACTGATCCTCTGTTCTGCTCAGTTAACTGCTCTGTCTGTACATAGATCAAATAAATGTTTAAAAGGTTGAACTCTCTCTGTAGAGCCTCGTGTGAGTGGCCTCATTTCTTTAAACATTTCAATTCTATCTGAATCATCTGTTTCTCTTCACTTCATTTGTTATAAATGTGTCAAACTGTCCTTAGCTCATCTGTGGAGATTCTGAATAGTTATCTGTGTTTACATGTAGTTTGTTTATCTAAGGTTATAGTTTTAAAAGTATATTCTGGCCCAAATGTCAAACATGATATCATCCTCAGAATAACTTTACTCAGGATTTCTGACATCTCCACATATTTCAGAGGGAACTCTTTACATATTACTTCACTACTTTATCTGACAGTGTTTGATATTAGTCAGTTATGGTTTCATTTCACCTATAAGAAGACATCTTTGTTTTATAAAATGAAGATGAATTGTTACGGATGAAATTGCAGGATAGTATACAGGGAAGAACGTTTTGTTTTGCTTAGAATTTCAGATTGAAATATTATCAGGTTATTTGAACTTTCAAGGAGAGGATCCTATTTTCTTCCATCAAGATATGTATTAACTTGAGTTATGAAAGTAACTCAAGTTAATACCTTTAATATGTCAGCTATTAGTTAAAAGCCTTCTGTACAATACTAGCTATTAAAAACAAAGAACCTTTCTGTCTCCCCTTCTATTTTTTTTACCTCTCAAACCTCCCACTTATCTTAGTTGGTATTCCTGTCTTCTCCCTGTTGCCTTCCCTTGTGTGTGTGTGTGTGTGTGTGTGTGTGTGTGTGTGTGTGTGTGTGTGTGTGTGTGTGTGTGTGTGTGTGTGTGTGTGTGTGTGTGTGTGTGTGTGTGTGTGTGTGTGTGTGTGTGTGTGTGTGTGTGTCTGCTGCAGGACAGGGCTTTGTTTTGGGGTACAAAGGCTTTTTGGGGGAACTGGGCTATCATCTATGCATGGGTTCCCTTCAGCTCAATGCCTTGTTAGACAAGCTTTGTCATGCATGGGCTCTTTGGAAGCCAACAAACAAGCCTATTTTCTGTTTCCTCCCCTTCCTCCTCACTCATTCACTCACTCACTCACTCACATACATCAACACACAATATTAATTTCCACTTCATTAATTTATCTTCGTGCCTATGAACAACAAAAACGACGTCTATATACATTTGTGTGTTTCTTTTCCATGACGTCATGATGACATCTACATTTGCTAAATCTATCTGTACTGATACAGAAAGAGTGAAATCAAATATTTACATGTATTTCCACATTCTCCTCTCTCGTCTACACAAAGACACAACCAGCATTTTTGTTTATAGTTTGTTGTGATCTTTGAGTCTGTGGGATCTTTCAGTGATCACTAGAACACTGAGTATCAGTAACAATGTCTGAAATATAGATCTCAAAGTACAGAAAAATCTTTTCAGACAGCAAATACTAAAGTTTCTGATAAGATTTTAAAAAGAGCTATGTTGTTGTTAAATATCGTTATTTGAATGTTAAAGGAATGCTGTGGACTTATTATGGATGTGATCTGTGTTTACGAGCTATAGGACACATCCATCCATACATTCATTCACTTATAGGCTCATCCCAGAAACTGCTGTTCACAGAAGCTGCTATACAGTCTTGGCTCAGTGCTTCACTCTTACTGTGGCGGTTGCCTGTGTGCACTTGCCAAAATAATTAGTGCATCAGCACAATTTGCTTTTCATCTCAAATAGCCCCATCTGCTGGTGAGAAAACGGATAAAATGGTGGACATATTGAGAAAAAGAGAGAGAAATAGAAAATAAAATATCTCCTTAAATAGGTTAGGGTGACTTGACCAGTCAGTGTATCAAAGCAAAGGTTTGTAATTCAGTAAGTGAAAGTACTGTTTTAACTAAATCATGTTAAATCAAACACTTATTTCATGTTAAAGTTGCTTTAGTAAACTTTAAAATAGCTTTATTCTATGTTAAGGGGAAATATTTAACACTTGCAAAATATAAAAATGTCTCTGCACACACACACACACACACACACACACACACACACATGTTTGAAATATAAATAGTTACGATGGAATGGGGTCACAAGCTAAGCCACCACAGCTCATTTAGAAGAATCACTCAAAATCATCCAGGGAATTTCACTCAAACCAAAAATCGCCAACTTATCAAAACAAACATTTCGCTTACGTAGCTAAATACATGACACCAGCGTTTAAGTGAGACATTTTGTATTTCAACCTGTCAAATTCCTGAAGTCCTTTACTCTTTTTTTAGGAAAAGATTTTTCACACAGCAAACATTTTAACATCTCATAGCATAAAAAGAAAGCACAGACAAAACCCATATCCACTACAATGTCTGAGCAATATGTTTATATTCACCTCTGATTTCTCCTCACATATTTTTGGGCTGTTGTTTTTTATTTGCTCCCATGAAACAAAGACAATTTAAGAAAGGAAAAGGGAACCGGAATTAGACAAAATCAAGATTTGTTTAACATTTATAATTTAATAAAATGTTGCTGCAAATAACCTGCCAGTAAATAATGAGGTCCCACTTTTTTCTAAGCCAGTAGATGGCAGCAGGATGTGTTAAGATGGGGACAGAGTGACACATAAAGACTGAGCAGCATATAATCCTCTTTCCAATGATCTTAAAGCAATGAACTAGCATGGGAATAGTTGTCACACCCACCAGTTTCTGTTACCACCTAGCACACTGTGTGTGTCAGAGCGTGAATGCATTAGTGTAACCATGGTGTTGGAACATGGTCAAGGCTGTCACAGTGTGATACTTGACTGAGTTTGACAGAATGCCAATCTGAAATCTCACTTTTTCCCTCACATATAGCCTACATGAACATATCAAGGGAGAAAGATAAATTCCAGTTCAGTTTGAAAATTCTGTGCATTGTGCTATCATGTTTTTGCTGTGAGTGTTCCTGGCATGTGGATGGTTTGCAGTGCCAGTGAGTGCATTTGTCATTGCATTTCTTGTCTGGCTGTCTTTTGTCAGCTCCCTTTTTAAAGCCTCTTTTTCTTCAGGAAAAGACAGAGACAGATGTAGAAGGAGGGAGAGAGGGGGAGAAGGTCTGAAAAAGCCAAGCAGAAGAACCATCTCTTCCAACCCCACCCTCCCCTCTCCTCTTCCTCCCCCTCCTCGCCTTCCTCTTCGCTTACGTTGTAAATCTAAGTCACCGTCAACCAGTACCAGACACTCAACCCCAAAACAAGCCTTGGATTTGGACAAAATCACTGCCACCCCTGATCCAGAAGACAGGAGGCAAATCCGCAGAGAGTCCCATGACCTCAGGAGCTCCAAGGGTTCAGAGCTGGACAGGAAGTGGGAGGGTGTGGCCCTGGAGTTGCGTTGCTATGGCAGCAGGATGAGGTCAGCAGTGTACCAGACTTCAGACATGCCCTCCATGGTCAGGACCAAGAGACAGTTGGAGCAAAGTGATAACAAAGGGCAGGTAGACCGGAGTAAATTGAAGGCAACCTTTGTTTGAGGAGCCCAATGTTTAGCTGACTTACCGACAGCTAACATTGTCTCTGGGATTTTGACCACACTAGACAGCCTCTGCAGCTGCTGCTGAAACATTCACAAGGTTTAATCTTCAGATGAAGGGGCCAGAGTCAACAACTGTTCAGCTGTTATAGACTCTCCATTAAGGATGGCTATTAAGACAGTGGGCGGACTCGCATAAATCAAATGCTGTGTCCTAATTTCATTCTACTCAGTATTTGCAGCGCAGTGATTGAAAGGAACCAAGTACATTAAATCCTGAACTGAAGGACAATTCTGAGGATCTTGTTTTCAGGATTTTTACTTTATTTAAGATTTCTCTTTGCCCACTTACTTGTACATATACAACAACTAATTATCCATGCTCATTCCATCATCTAATATTTTGTGCTACAGACCAAAACACTCAAACAAAACATAATTGTGTACCAAGTTAAAATCAATTCAGTTAAATCCAGCTTGGCTGGTTGCAGCATGTTACATAATTAATCATACATTTGCCTTAATTATAGTTCAATAAAATAGTGCGTATAATATCAACCGTTTAGAGCAACTTTTCTGCTTCATAAGAACTATAAAAAAATGTAGTGTTTGTTTTTGGATTCTTATAACAGTATCATGACTTGTGCAATTTGGCTTGAAGGGACTGCCTCTGTCCCCTCACCAGCAGAATATCTGTAGCTGTGATGTCCAAATTAATGAGCTAAAAACCTGGGGCTGTATTCACAAAGGTTCCTAACTACATAGAGTTGCTCCTAGTGACAAACTTCTATGAAAATTCTCAGAATCCCAACACAAAGCCTTAAATGAAATCCTTGTAAAGATAAGAAAGTATTCACAAAGCATCTTAAGCTTTCTCAAGCTAAGTAGAAACAGAGAGATAGGGGATCAAACATACCATTACAACACTGTCACAGCCTCATATTAATATAAATTAAGCACCACAGTTACTTACCAGCATGTTAAATTATCATAAGCAAATAAATATAAGAAAGGAGTCTCACACAGAGAACAAAAGGAGAACAGATGGGAGTCTTGATTGAAACCATTCTTATTGATTCATAACTTGGCAGAACAGACAAATATGTTTTATGCATACATGATACATATAAGTCCATATGGAACTTTCTTCAGTGCAAAGTGAGGCATGCATGTGGCTACCTGCACTGATGAAATGCTGTTTACATGCGGATGTAACTGTAAACAGGTAGACTGCTGTGCAGTGGGCACGTGTTTCAAGGATTTGCAGGCTATACCTTTAAAGTGCGGCTTACAAGGTATTCAACTTTCATTACTTAAAAAAGTGTTCTTCATCAAAAAGATCAAAACAATGTTTGACAAAGTTATATGATTAGGCTGAGTGATTTCACTGTCTTTCATTGACCTTCATCACAAAGAGAATCTTTATACTTTTCCTCTTTCAAGGATCGAACAATCGCAGCTTTTGAAAAAATGTATCAAACCTATAGCAACCGGGTCAACCACGCCTCCTCAGTAAGATACAAGTTTCTATCTCTTCCTCGCTCAGAGCTGTTCTGGGGATGTTCCTAAATCACTCTTGAGCTAAAAAGCCTCACTAGAATTTTTTTAGCTTAGTTATGAGCTCTCTGGGAGGATTCTCTGAATGTTTGTGAATACGGGCCCAGGAGATTTTGGAGTCCTTGGAATTTCTTTCGTCTTTCAGGTTTCCTGGAGAGAAAATGACATCTACAAGTAGAGAACATATAGCAGTTAAGTATAAATATGAAACTGTGATGCAGAAATACACTTAGGCCTAGCCTAACATGTTGACTTGTTTCCATACATGAAAACAATGGTAATAACTAGTTATGTGGTTGCCTTTGTATCTAGGGTTATAAGTTGGCTACTCTCATGTAAAGATTGTGCACTTGTAAATATACAAACCCAAAGCTACAGAAGCTGAAATGTTTTGGACTTTTGGTCATTAGTGCGGCTCAAGCTGTAGAAATGTATATTTTCCGCAACTTTATCTGTTATGCCCTCTGGACCAGGTGAGCAGGATCTGCTCAACCTGTCGTGATGCCACTATTCACTATTAAAAACCCATATTTTAAATTGGTGGTCTTAATTTGTGTTACAAGAAGGGATTTTAAGGTTGGATGTTTGTCTTTTTTAATATTATGACATCTTGGTCTTGCCCACTGGAATTATTTTTGAAAGCAGTTCTAAGAAACTTACCAGTCTGCATTTTAGGGGGCAAGATAGTAAAGTAAACACTATATGAGATAAATCTTTCCATTGATTATGACAATATTGTAAATTGGGGAAATAAGACTCTGAACAGCTCCAGTCCTGAGTGACGTGCCTTGGTCTAACACAATGCAATGATTTAATACTGCAGGATTGGATTGAGAAATAAGTAATAATAAATAATAAATAAAAAAACTATTGGACTGCTGTTTACATATTTTATTTGCTCATTGTATGGACATGGTCACATAATAACGAGTTTGCTGGATTAGTTACTATTAATCCATAGATTAAAACTATTCTTTTTAACAAGCCAGTACAGGCCAACAGATTAAAGCTTTCCACAGACATACTGATTAACAAGAAGGCAACTTGAATCCCAGTCTAACACCCGGCTAAGAGCAGCCTTATGAGTTAAATGAAAGGTACGCAAACTATGCCCTTATAATTTAGTTATCTCTAAGGACTTGATGCGGGATGGCAACTGTACACTCACTTGACAGGATGTAGCGAGGTGAGGTTAGTGTCTCTCCCCGCCTAGGTGGTCTGATCATCGGGGAGACAGACTGTCGGTCAGGCCCGGACTATAGGCTGTCTAGAAAATATGTGACCTCCTCTCTGTCCCTCTGGAGTGGTGGAGAGGCGGTGAACAATTACTCTCTCTCTCTCTCTCACACACACACACACACACACACACACACGCACACACACACGCACACACACACACACACACACACACACACACACACACACACACACACACACACACACTCTCTCACTCACGCAGACACGCAGCTGCTCGGAACCATGACAGAAGATGACGGATTCAGTTGTCGCGGAGGGACAAGTCAAGTTTAGAGAAGGAAAAAAGGTTCATTTATTTAATAGTCCTCTCGATTTTTAGTCTCAAAACATATTTACAAACAGGAATGCGCTTCTGTCATTGACTGATATTTTGCAAACTTCTCCACAGTGGAAGACTCGGTGGGTCGTTCTTCGGAAACCCTCTCCAGTCGCAGGTATGTGGGACTATAGTTTTCACTTTTAGCTGGTAGACATATCCCTCTCAAACTGTGCCACTACTAGCCTGTGCGTTTATTCCTCCGTGTCATTCATTGATCAGACCTTTTCTTTGGAGTTGAAATAAACGTAGCCTAACTTGTGAAATGATCTTCTTGCTGTGCACCACTTTAAGACGCAACATTAGCCCACTCGACACAGCAGCAGAATTCATCTCGTGATTTTATTTTTGGTTTGACCATAAAATAAAAATGAATAATATTTCACTCTTTATACATTTGTATTAAGAGACTGGATATCAATAAGATGGATTGAGTCAAAGATCAAAGGTTGTAGTTTTTTTTTATTTTTAAAGCTTTAGGCCTACAGATGTTTCTTAAAAATAAAGCCTCAAAACTATAACATTGGTTTAACTAGTTGTAAGGACTCTCCATGGATAAGGCTAAACTTCCACTGTCTGCCTTAAGAAACTCTAGACACTGGCCAAATGGTGGAACTAATGGAGGCTATCATATCTTTTAATAGGATATGTTTGTGCATATATGTGAATTTTGTGTAGGTCATCAGCAGCTGTGCCTCTAAAGCAGTGCATTGTTTGTTTTGTCAGTTTCGCTATGAAACATTGTGATCTGTGTTCTGCTATTAATCAGTATGAAATCAGAGCTGACAGCATTTTAAAAAAAAATAGTCATTCTCTGTGTCTGCACCAGACTGTCTCTACCTGCTGGTTTACAAAGAGAAGAAGAAAGGGAGGGAGAAAGGCAGCTGCAACAAGGAGAGGCTCAATGTGACCCTGGAGGTAAGTTCAGCTGCAGCAAAAACCAAAGGCCCTCTTGTCATTATTTTAGGTCCAGGGGTCAGCACTGGTGGCAGTCTAATGACAACATCAGGATCTACCACATTCATGGACAGAGTCACAGTAGCTTTTTTCAAATCATTGTTGTTGAACAAAAGCAGGAGAGAAAACAGATATCAAATACCATTGGCACTTACAGGGTTTGAGGCCCTAAGAGGCAGAGGTGGTCCAGAGGTAGGAGGGATAACATTATTATATTATAAACTCATTTGGAACATTAAGTATTATATAGTGTTACATCAAATTTCACCATTAATGGGGCGCGCTGGTGGCGCAGTGGCAGGGCGCGCATCCCATGTATTGAGACTCTCATCTTGAGCAATAGGCCCAGGTTCGCTTCCACCCGTGGCCCCTTTCCGCATGTAATTCCCCGCTCTCTCTCCCTGGTCTCCAACTCTATCCACTGTCCTCTCTCTGCATTAAAGGCACAAAAAAGCCCAAAATAAATCTTTAAAAAAAAAAAAAATTCAGCTTTAATTCTCTACCACTGTAGGCTTACATACGAGTGGCATCCTGACACAAATGTTGAAATGTGATGTCTGCTTTATTTTTGTTATAACAAACAGAATACAAAGTAAAAACAACTGTTTTAAAATACAATTCTTATTGGACATTTCTCTGACCATTTAGGGAATTTGTGGCGTGGAACCAGGGACTGGGTATGATGGAGTATCCTACACCCTCTCAATCATCTGCCTGGCACACACGCTGGTCCTGGGCTTCAGCAGCCGAGATGCCCTGCTGGCCTGGGATTCCCGGGTTTGCTACAGCCTGGGAGAAGGTCAGTGATTTAGTCTTGTGAGGACATCACACGGTCCTTTTTAGGTATGTGATGTGTAAAACAGTTTGCAAGGGGGGAGGTGGTCGAGTGGTTAGTTTGCACGCCCCACAGATGCTATAGTCCTCTGTAGAGCTGGGTTTTATCCACAACATCACAATTAAATTCGATTTCAATTATTTGGGTCACGATGCGATTCCATATCGATTATTTTGAATCGATATTGAATTGGGAAAATACTTGTTGCAATGCATTGATGAATCGATATTTTTGAACCAGCCCTAGTCCTCGGAGCGGGCAGCTCAACTTTGAATTCAATCTGTGGCTCGTTTTCTGCTTGTTTTCCCCACTCTCTCTCTCACCGCTATTTACAACTATAGCCACTGTCCTGACTCTTCAATAAAGGCACAAAAATCCCCCAAATAAATCTAAACTTGTGTTTGATTGTTGAGAATGTAATCTTGTTCATGATGGGTGATGAGAATAAAGCCATACTAGAGGAGTCATTATCTGAAGGCAATGTTTCACAGGCAATCAGGCTATTGTAAATACATTGATCCCTTCACAAAAAGACACAACAGCAATTCTTAAATATTTTAAAGCACATGCCACTTAATCTTCATTTATATATCTATTGTACAAAAAGAGGTTGGCAGTCTGTTCCCATTCTACACTCTCTTATATGTAATCAATTCTATGCACTCTCCCAGATCCCAGAGACGGTCATTTCATTGGATACACAAAAAGCTTTTAACTGAATTATACAGACATCTTTTATTATCTATATCATATACAAATTTGGAATTTGCCCAACTTTCATGTCTTGGATTCAAACAATACTCTGCCACTGGAATCAATAAGGAACAACAATATACCCACTCTGATTATTGACCCTCAAAGGAGCAAGAGCGTGGTCGTCCCTTCTAGCCCCCCCTTTTAACGCTAGAGCCATCATATGTCTTTGTGGCAGAATCATTAAACACTTTTTTGGGATTCATTTTATAACCTTTGGTCTCAGGTTATAAATGAACTCTACAACTATTACTATTAACTATTTAGGACTGAAGGAACTCTTGCACTTGCACTGCCTCTTTATTTCTGTGCATTTAACAAAAAAAAGTACTGTCTGCGTTTATAGATACTAAATTGATATTTCCCTTACTTATCCTTTATTGAACCTCAAAACCCCTTAATAAATCTTACTTGAGAGATTCAACTTTTTCAAACATTTTGGAATGCAATATGATTTCAGATACTTACAAATCCTTGACTAAAACTATGTACGACTGTTTTTCAATGAAAGCAAAGCATGTGACATTTTGTGAAAGGACCTCCAGGTAAATGTAAGGCTGAAAAGTAATCTAAACCAGAGATCACACATTTGGAAGTTTCATGTTGCAGTATCACTTTCTAATTGTTTCCTCCTTTAAAGTGGCTTGTTGGTTTTTTCTATTTGTTTTCACACACTGAACTGCTTTTCTAAACTTTTTAAAGCCAATGTTTGATATCAAATCAAAAAATATAGGAATTTGTTAGTGAAGAGCGTTACTGACTGTGCAAGTGTATGTTGATAGATTTTATATATTTATATATAAATTTATAGATCTTTGAAGCAGATGCTATTTTACTGTGACTAACCAACAAGAAGTTAAATAATATAGTTTTTTATTTGTTACAGAATGTACTAAAAGAAGCTAGAATGCCAAATTGCCTTAAAAAGCTGCACAATATTAACCCTGCAACATTGAGTGAATATTTGGGAGGGTGAGAATAGGGTGAAGGAAGAGGACATTTACTAAAGTTTTATCTGTTCTTCCAGTATATTTCAGAAGAGAAGTTTGGAGAGCAGCAAAATCTCATTACTTTTTCATTACTGTCGTTTTTTTTTCTATTTGCAAAATCTGCTGAACAACACTACTTTTAAGTGGAAAATGTTTAGCTGAGGGGAAGGAGAAGAGCATATCAGGTCCTCACAGAAAAATGTAATCCTGTTTTATATGCTTAAATGTCTGAAGGGAGAGATGTTAAGTCAATTCCATGGTAGTGAAATATGTTCTGAAGCAAGGTTTAAAAGAAATTCTGCACCTCAACAGTTATTGTTGCTGTCTTCCCCTCCTTGAGAGGCTTTCCCTGCATGATATGAAGATTGCATGAAAAGTCCCACTCGAACTGTCATTACTCTAGTAAATTCTTCAGGAGATGATACAGTCCTGTAGGTCAGTGGTTCACAACTGGTTCAGCCTCAGGACCCACCACCTCCATGAAAACCGCGACCCAAGTTGCTGATACTTTTGAACCAATCAGGTTTATTTAATTAAAGATGGTACATTTTCCACCTCAGATTTTTTTAAACATATGACAGAGCAAAGATACAGAAAAAGAATACATGTTTAAAAAGCACTTTATGGACTTTTTGATAACTTTTTTCCCCCAGGCACTCAGTCAAGAATTTATTTCCTCTTGTAGATGACTACAGCTCTCTTTCCCATACTACAATATGATTTGTCTACAGTGCTTCTTTGAAGCTTTTGCCTCAGCATTATGTTGGATCCCTTTCAGCTAAATGTCCCATCTTGCAAAGTGCAAATACCAAGACTTGCAGACTACACATGCTTTGGTTCAGTGAACCAACACAATACACAATGTAGCCCTCAGTTACATCCAGACTGCAGAGTTACTCAGTGTCAGTGTAACACAGTTTGAGCCAAAGTATAGGGAGCTTACTCTTTAAGATCTCAACATAAAACCAATACATTTAGCATTTATTCAAGTTTGTCTTTAAATATAACCGTCATTTTTTATTTTTTAAACCTTGTATACATTTGCTTGTACTTTAGGGGTGATAAATACTACTTTATTCTGCTATTGTGTATGTGACATTATTCTGCATACATTTGGAAATCTATTGCCTACAGAAAAGTGCCTCTGCAGAAACTGAGTGATGCCATGTTGCAGTCAACAAAGCTTGATGGACGTCTTTATTATTATATCCACACTCATTAGTTACGATGTACTGCACATGCTTGTATGCGTAAGTGTGTGACCTATGTTGATTTTTATATGTGTCACCTTATTTGTTAGTTGTTATGATTTATTTTTCAGTTTTAATGAATGGTCATATGCTCGTCTGTTGTCTTAGAGTCAGTGTGACATGATGGGAAACCCACACACTCTTCACTCTTCTCTCTATTCTCTCTGCTTCTCTTTCTTTCTGTCTATCAGTCCACAGGTTCAGTGTCAACGTGGAGCCAGGTACCAAACTTGAAAGTGGCCCTGCTTTCCTTCACCTATGCAACAACCTACTGGTCCTTACTAGAGGTGTGCCACCTGTTGTCATTGGCCACTGGAAGTTGTCTGCATTACGTCGATATGGGGCTGTGCCAAATGGCTTTGTGTTTGAGGGGGGGACTCGCTGTGGAGTCTGTAAGTAACTTACGTGACATTCTGATTTGTTGTTGTTAGTGGGCAATTTTTTCTATTTGTGGGTAACTGGTAAGGTTGCCACCTTTTTCCAGTATGTTTATATTAATAATCCTCTCTTTTCCCAAAGGGCGATCTAAACGGACTAACTGTACCACAGATCAGAGAGTCGTTTTAGATATTAGATAAAATGAACGAAACCATGACCAACAGTTTTCAAAATCTGTAATTTCCTTATTTACAGTAGATGAAATAATTACTGTGGATAGAAATTGTTCCACTCTTAACTTGGGACCCCCGTAACCCATCATTTGCTCTTCATGTGCATTTCTGTAGCATCATGCTGTGTCATGTGGAAGTGTGGAAGGCTTTGATAGAGTCTCTGCTTACTGGCCATTCACATTGTTTGGTGTAGCTGTAAAGTCTTTCTCTTTTGCCTCATAATCCAAAAAATTTTTTATCCACAGGTGTGGGTCACAAGCCAACCCAACAAGCCCATCCATTTTCAACCCTTAAATAAGCAGTATGGTTGCTGTAGATATATCTGATTTATGGAATGGGGGGCTGTGATTGGATGACAGGTGTCCCTTGATGGATGTGATCAGATAGACGACTGGCTGTGTAGGTTTGGAGTAAATCTCCATCTAGTGATTAGAGAGAAGTAATGTTAACATACAGGGCAGTGGGTGTCCCACTGGGGACAAACCAGTTTGGTTTTAAATACAGGATGTTTTGGCTACAGTTACCCTATAGTAACTTTTCAACTATTGAAACTGCCTACTTTCATTTAAAATTATAACTTGAAAGCGCTTGAAAGTTCATCAGCTCGTTTCTATTGGGCCACAATGAATTGATGCACTAGAAGGATCCTTCATGGCCCTGGAAAAGCATTTGTCTTCCACATTTGAAGGAGCCTTGGAAATGGGATAACCTTTCAATGTGTTGCTAAGTCTGGGCCTCTCGAAGGATGCAGTCCCTGAATTGAGACACAGCTGGAGAAATAATTCAACATCCTGTTACGAGGTCAGCCCTTTAGGATCAAAGAGCTTCTTTTGAATATGCTGTATTTTTCTTGAGACATAAATCCTTACTTGAAGTCAGCAAGTTAAGTTTTGCTCATGAGTTGTATACAGAGAATTCAAATCTCTAAATCTCATTTTGTGCTATTTGTGTTTTATGGGTTTATATTTTTTTTATTCTTAATGAAAAAACCTGTGATTTCATTTCATGTGTTTACAGAGTAAGTGTATCTACTTAAGAATTACTTTCTTTGTTATAACCCAACATATGTGATGTGTGCCTATCCACCTAACAAAGATGTGTATGTGTAAGTATGTGAGGGTGGGTTTGTGTGGTTGGGCGAGAGTGGTTGCCAAATACAGTACGGCACAGGCTGTCTGAATATGCAGATGATATTAATGGGAAGAATGAGAGCTATCTTTTTTTTGTTTCAAGTGCTCATTGATGAAAGATGGACTTACCAATAACATCTGTGTCCCTGATTTAATTAGGATAAGTGGAAATGTTTTTTTTTTTTTAGAACTGTCATCTGAGTGTGTCTGTAAATGTGCGTTTAAACAGCCTCATAGCTTCTACAGGAATAGCCATGGGGCCCACAGGCTCTGGTTTCAGTGTTGATGAGCAACATCTATAAATACCAGCCTCCCCTTGTAGTGGTCACTAAGCCAATCCAATTGGGCATGCTTGACAGTTTTCGTCTTTTCTTCACCTTTATATTACCATGCAGCCATTGTCATGGTAGCAAAAGGCTCCCTTTGCATGGATGAAATACAAAGGCACAAACGTGAGAGACAAGTTGGCAAGTGTGCATGAGTGCAAAGTAGAGCAGAGTATTAGTTTAAATTTGAACATGTTAACTTGGATTTGGTGATATCAGCGTTTAGCAGTCAATTTATTTTGTGTTGTTAGGTTTCATTTACAACTTGCTGTTGCTCACAGTCAGGTACAAATCTTTTTTGGAACAATAACCACGTTACCAAAAACTTATGAGATAGGGAAAGAAGCATCTGTTGCTAAACTGCTGAAATCCCTTACATAGTTGTGAAAGAGCAAGTGCACCTAGTTTGTTTAGTTATTGCAATTACCGAAACAAAAAAAGGATACTTGTTCTGTGACAAAAGGGGTTATTCTCAAAGAGTTGACATAATTAGCTCTAAGTCCATTTAAACCTTTTCACAGAAATTCATTTTCACCGGTGCTTTTAAGACTGTAACACAACAAGAAGCTACTTTTACACATTATGAAAATGTTATTTAACATTTTAGTGTTTGGCTGACAAAAATGTTTATTTTACTATTTTACATTTTTTTATTTAAAAGTAGGAACACACTGGTGTAAATGTATAACTTAATTAAATTTGGCATTCACACTGAAATACTGGTATGGTATAATATGGTTACAAACTGTTATACCATACACCACTGTGCAAAGAAAAACTTGGCAATAAACTTGGCAATGGAAAGAGCACATGTCTGAACACATTGCCTTTATACTTGGGGAGGCTATGGCTCAGTGCTAGAGTCTCTCACTCATTCACTGCTTGACATTTGTGCTGTGCAAAGCCCTTTACTTAACAGTTGTTAGTTGAGCTCTGATAACAATGGATGTTAAGCTTTGCCTTTGCATGCACAGTCACATACAGACGTATAGTTTCATGAACAGCACAAAATACTATCTATTTATTCACATTATTATTAGTAAGGTTCAAGCATGAAGGGTTTCACAGATGAAGAGTTCTTAAGCTCTTCCTCCCAAACTACTTCTTGAGAGTACCTCTGAGGCTGAAAAATAAGCCAACACAGACAAACCCGGTTATGATTTGTTAGCCATTATATTCAGGTATAAATGAATATGCTCACTAAACCTTGTTTTGAAGCTTGTATTTGTGGACGCATTGAAAAGAAGACTGGTTCTTTTAAGTAGCCCCCTTATTTCATTAATAATTTTGGTCTAATGAATATACCAGTACCTAGGTTAGACTCGAACAAAAACTTGACGAAAACTTGAGCTAAAAAGCCATCTAATGCATTTCTTGTCCAAAATTGTTTTGGCTCCAACAAACCACTACAGCAAAAATTATTATAGGCAGGGTTGGTAATTTTCGAACACTAGCATGATTTTGAAAGTAGCACCCTCATTGCTCAGTCTACAACCACCCCCTCCTCTTTGTGCTCCCTTAAAAGCCACGCCCCTCACATGCAGAAGCGGACCTCAGCTCATTGCTTGCATTGTGTAGAAACTATGTCTCATGTCTCATTCAGCTGTAAGTAAACTCTCAGTATAAACTCCAAGTCGGTGACGTGCTTTGAGTGTGGGCTTGTGCACACTTGGGGTAGAGAACGAGCAGGGAGACAGCATGATTGGTTCATCAAATCGGTACCGATGGGAAAACATTGGTAGAAGTTTTTACATGCTTACAACTGTTACAGATGTTTCTTCGTTCCTTTATCAGAGCACATAAATAATTAATTTCTGTCAAGACCTGAAGACAATTTCAACCAAAATGACTAAAATGACTCAATATAAACCACAAAGTAGCTGTCATGTTCTCTGTGTTGTTCTCCGATGTGCAGACGCGGACTCGACTGCGCGTCCCTTTTTTTATCGATCGTGTCCTCCTGTTTGTAAACTGAGCACGCTTCATAATAACATAAAGCATGCACGTGTTGTATTATGAGGTTATGTACAAGAGGTAATCGTGCTTAAGCACGGATAGTCCTGTGTAGTGTGACTGCGGGCCGTGCCGGCGCAGAGGGGGGCCAATCGTGCTTGAGTACGGCATGGTACAGATGGCCGGTGTGACCGCGCACTTAAGTGACAAGTACGGTAGCTGTAAAAAAGGACGCTGTCCTTTGAAGTTGAGAGCCAAATGCTGTCCTTCAAATCTACAAGCAGTGAGTTTTTGACACTGGAAAAAAACATCTTAAAGCATAGCATCTACGGTGGAAAGGAAGATCTCTCAATGACACATCTTCAGCAACTGGTGAATAAATGATATTATTTAAGTTACAAATTGATAGAAATAGTCAGGTCGGACTTGATGTGTAGTTTTTGTTGCTTTCACATAATGTATGATGGTTAGAATGTGAATCAGTGGTAGAGTCGTAGTCTCTTACTCGGACGGCCGAGTGTAGGATCCCCAGATCCTGCAGCAACATGTCCAATGTGTCCTTGGGCAAGACACTTAAACCCAAACTGCTCCTGCTGTTTCGTCAGCGGCGAATGAATGCGTATAAATGGAATTAGTTCCTTTTTTTTTTTTAAGATTTTTTTTTTACTTTTTATGCCTATTGGAGATGATGAGATTTAATGGAGAGATAGGACAGGGGATAGAGTCAGAAATCAGGGAGAGAGAGGTGGAATGATGCTGTGCTGCCCATTTCGAGGACTATGGCCTCCATACATGAGGCGCACGTACTGCGCCACCAGTGCCCCAGAATAGTTACTTCTGATGGTCTCACTTCATAGCAACCTCTGCCATCCGTGTGTGAATGTGTAGGTGTGACATGCGGTGTAAAATCACTATGAGTAGTCAGAAGACTAGAAAAGCGCTATACAAGCTCAAGTCCATTTACCATTTAGTAAACAATTGCCTTAAAAACAGCCTTCTGAACCTTCCTGAGTAATGTTTGTCCTTGAAAAAAAGGGTTTACTCTGTATTTCACCTTTCACAACAGCTTATTTCTTCCCCCAGTTTGTTCTTCTCTTGGATTTGGTGATTGTTAAGTTGTTTTTTTTCTTAACTCCATTCTCTTTATTTGAGTGATCCTTCAATTAATTGTGCCTCCCTCTCACTTATAATATTGTCCGTCTTTGTCTCTTTCCATCTTTAAGGGGCTGGTGTTTTCTTCTTGTCCTGTTCTGAAGGAGAACATATCAATTTCCTATTTGACTGCATTGTCAGGGGCATAACACCCAGCAGGGCCCCTCATGGCCTGCGACCTGCCCTGCCAGGTGATGACACTCTCACGTACACACACTCTGTCACACAAACAGAGGCATGCATGCATTTAACCATTTTATAATTGTACATACGCAATGCGCCTGGAACATAATCTGTGCTTTGGGAGGAATTTTGTATTAAAGTTATTTTGATAAACATATAATCAAAAGAGACCCAGTGCATTGAACTTAAATAAACACATTGTTTTGTGACTTTTACTTCAGTTGTAAAGGTTTACAGCCTGTTTAAAGTGCATGCTTAGCATATGTGTCAGGCGCCATGTTAACAGAAACTCCACATGCCTAAAGCTCAAAGGTCCCCCTGTAGATTAGAGGTCATGACTTGTGTGTGACTTTTTTTCTGTTGGAACTTCCTGCTAATTTCACAGGCATTTCTGAGGCTGCAAATATAGAGACAGAGGGGTTTAACGACAGCTGCCATCAGAATAGTTGTACAGGACAAATATTGAGGATCTAACAATACTGTAACTCTGAATAGATAGAGACATACCATCAGTCTGTTAAGAGAACAAGACATAATCACAGGATCCAGGTTTATTCAGACTGATAAAAACATTTAGAATTAAGCTCCAGCCTACCTACAATTTTGTTTTTCAAATGTCAGCCAATCTGTCTGCTATGAGGCACACTGTAACCCTAAGACATTAAGTGCAGTGAGAGGCAGCTATATTTAGCGTAGAAAAGCAATGTTAGCATATGTTAGCTGACACCTCACCTCACATAGCGTAGTGAAGTAACTTGGCATCTGTATGCTAGCATGAGCTGCTGCAGTCCAGAGGCAGAGCTCTTGGGTTAGATTGTTGACACTGACACCTATACACACAAACACCCTGACCCACTGCGCCATGCATTTGGCAAACACATATAAGTATATATAGCAGGCTTTAGGTGTATAATTGGCAGGGTTTTACACTATACTGATATTCCAACATAGAGTGTAGGCGCCTATATTCTCCTGTAGGAGATGTTTAATTAACAAGTTGGGTTAACAGTTTGAAACACACTCCCACACAGGGCATCTAATAAGAAAGCTTATATATACAGTAGCACTCAACTAACTTCAGCTTACATATATCCAACTGGAAATGTAGTTTCAAATATATTTCAGCCTAGTTAGGTGACATAAGTCAATAGATGTTTTTCAGAAGGACATGTTTTTTAATCAAATGCCTTAAAAAAGATCATATATGAATCACCTTGAAATATTTTTATTCAAGTTTGTATCTTTATACATACCATCGAAATAGTTCATGTCAACCAGATTCTATTTTGGCAAAAGTCAAACTGCGGAATGATACTCAGAATATGCTTTTATTACGTCTGTGTCAAAAGCTAGAAATTACACACAGGTCTCTTGTTTATGTGCTGTTTTGTGTTTGTGTGTGTGTGTGTGTGTGTGTGTGTGTGTGTGTGTGTGTGTGTGTGTGTGTGTGTGTGTGTGTGTAAATGTGTGTATGACCAGCAGATCCCAATGCTGACCCAGATTCAGCTGAGAAACGGATCAGTCAGGAGGCATCAGAGCTGGAAAAAAGACTCAGCATGTTGTCTATCTGCAGCCTGGCAAGCAGCACAGGTATGTTATTCTATTCAACTTTACACAAGGCTAGATGTCCAATATGTAACTCATGAGCACTTTGTAGTGTATTGCATGCATCATCATAACGTTGTATAGTAAGGCTGATTGACCTTCTGTCAACACAAAGGCTTAATCACTGGTCCACATTTATGAGACTTTTCTAAAACATTATTTGTCATAGTTATATGTTTGTAATATTCAGAAATGTGGAATGCAGTTGTTAGAGATCATATTGTTCATTTTTCATTACATTTAAAACTCAGAGAAAGTTGCAAAAAAACAAAAAAAAAACCTTTATGATTTCTGTTTAACTTCACCTGAAAAATATTGCCTGAAAAAATGTGTTAAAATCTCTTTATAATATACAATATCTCTCACTCCTTTAGCATCCACTTACAGCTTCAGCACATCTGTTGCGGGGGATGACCAAAGTAGCATCTCCAGCTCCTCCTCTAGCCAATCGGATGCAAGCTATGGAAGCAGACTTCCATATTGGGTGGAGCCATTAGCTAGACCTCATCCCTCAAATGAGACAGCATCAAGCTCCTCAACCCTGAAAGCTTTGAACAGTTCAGATGACCGGCTTTATGCTGCTGTGATGGGAAGCTCCAGCAGTCATCTATCCTCCACCACGCTCCCTCCCCGTGCTCTCCATGATAGTGGACGACAGAGCTCCTTAGACAGTGGGATTGGGATAGCGACAGCCAGTCAGTCGTCTTGTTCAGGGAGCTTATCCTCTTTTACAGGGAGTCTGGACACAGCTTGCCAGGGAGGAGGAGAGGCGTTTGGTTCCTTGACCAGCCTTACAGCTTCTCCTCCTCCTCTTCTACCACTGTCTACACCTTCATATGTTCCTCCATCATCTCCTCCTCCTCCTTCTCAGTCCACACTTACCTCAGAGCAAAGTTCAGCTACCTCCCTCTTCCCATGTGCATCCAGATCTAGCTCTTGTGCATCCTCGAGGCACAGTGTGGAATATCAAATCCCCAGCCTGCTCAGTCGTTGGTATGACACTCCCAGGAATTTACTCCAAGCACTCTCCCAAAGGGATACCTCCTCCCTAGAGGGCCCACCTGAGCTGGGATGGGACAGCGTGAGCAGTAGTGATGGAGGGGCTAGACAGGGACAAAGGATTACCAAAAGTCCCACAGGACTCATGGCTCAGTGTCAGGCCACAATGCAGCGCTCACACTCTTGGGGCAGTGAGAGGATGTTCTGTGTAGACAGTGAGGAGAGTTCCACACCTAGACCACAGCATGTTCCTGGAGACCTGGATTGTGGAGAAAAACAGGTACTGGCAGTTTCACACTTTTGAAAATCATCAATAAATCTGTGAATTGAATAAGCATCTTGGTGAGGGCCTAAAAAATGGAAAGTACAAAACTTCTGAAGACTGATACGTATACAAATACAAATATTATTCTTTAAGATCTGATCAGGTTGCACCATGAAGCATAAAAGCCTACACCTAGACTTAATCCAAAAGAGCCCAACATGTGTAATACCCAAGTTCAAAAAGTACTAGTTGTGGCCTTACATACAAGGATGTATCTCACGCCATCATAGCACTGCAAATTTAAGGGATTGGAATTGACTGTAATATTGATTTAGCTGGAGAATCATATTTAAAGTCATAAGATGTTATTGTCAAAAATGTTTACATTAAGTATATTAAGTCTTGCTGAGGGTCTCCTTTTCTAAAGCAGTTGCGCTCTGCTCTGCCTTTAGATAGACTCTTTATCGTCACTGTATAAATAATACAATGAAACTTTGTTAGCAGCAATCCTGTACAGCAGCGTTTACAAAATCAGGTTCACATATAAAAATAGATTTGTGTTTATGTACATTGGTAGTTATGTACATTTTCAGTGAATGAGTATGTAAATGAGTAAGCAGTTGTGGTGGCTGAATGAATATGTACAGTTATTATTGTGCATTGACTGGGTAAGTATCTTGTGTAATTTTTAAGCAACAATTATTGTGCATTCTCATTCTTACAGTTACCTGAATTTATTTGCTGCCTTTGTAATTGTGACTAACAGAAGTCAATGGTGTAAAGGCTCATAAAAAAACAAACAGAAAATGCATGAGTGGAGAATCAAGAAGTATAAAAATGTCTTATTGGGACTATTCTGGGACTTACTACTGGGGGTCATGAGCATCAAAAAGCATTACCACAAGTAATTAATGAGTTAATGTTTTTAATTGTGTTTTAGAATGTTTTAAGAACATAAACATGCTCAGTCTGTACAGTGACAGATGGAGCTTGTTGGTGGATAGCTTGCCTCGACAGACTCTTTATTATGAGGTGACATAGCCACCCACTGAGGCACAGATATGCTAAACACAGAAAACCAATAACTGCAGGGAAAATAAGGGTTGGTTTCCATCAAAAAACAGAGCTTCTGTTTTTTTCAGAGCCTGGGAAAATCACAAGAAGAGACGTATCTATATTGTCTAAAAAAATGTTCCCTCTTGAAGTGGGAAAATAATCAGGAAAGGAGAGAGAAGCATGCCTTGTGATTTTTGACAGTTTGTGTAGGAGTGTGTGTTCCTTTTACATCAAGTGTATGCTGAGGAAGGAGAGAGCAAAATGGAGGGGAGTACGTTTATAAGGAGGGATAAAATCCTCTGAAATACTGGGAGAGTAGAATCATGTGTTACACTTAAGACTTTAATTTATTAATGATTCATCATATATTTATATAGTGCCAAACAACACCCATCCTTTAGATTAGATAAGTTAGAGATAATGCCTGATTACATAAACTTTATTATTTGGGTAGAAATACATTGTATGAAAAATACTCTTTCTGAAACAAATACTGAGTTAATATGTGTGATGGAACTGAGAAAATACTGTGTTAATTATGTAATACTGAAATGTCTCATGTTTGAGGTTGCTAACTTTTTATCTCTTGAGTATGAAGCCTCAAAATGTCATTTCTGTCATCACTTAAATTACTTAAATTACCGTCTTTGCCTTCACACTTCACACTGGCTACAGATTGTCACGATTTCCATTTCTCATCTCTCCCCTGATGCCGTTTTTCTGTCAGTCAGTGGTTATAATGAACATTCCAGCTACAATCTAATAACTCTGCTTCCTCATTAAGGATCCTTCTCTCTCCATTCAGTGCAGTCATGGTTTAGATAACTACGTTACACCAGAGCAGTGGCGATCAGCAAGAGCCAGTTGTGTGACTCAGGTGAGATATACAAGCCTGTTTTATTTCTTGGTTCCATGTAGCCATTAAATAAGGTTTTGAATGGAGCCAGGAAACTGACTCTAAATTTTGGCAATGGCAATAAAATGTGTTATTTAAATAATACAAAAAAAAAAAAAAAATATATATATATATATATATATATATGTATATATATATATAATAAAAATAATTAACTACTTCAGTTATATGCATACTCCTAAAATGGGATTTGCTATTGGTTTGCCTGTAAGAGGTTCTGTCTCAGCACCCAAGAAGAAGTTTATAAAGCTCTTAAGCCCGGTCGGGTTGAACTCTTCTCCCCTTTTCAACTCAGCGACCTTGAGAAATGGATTATCCTGTGAGCTAATGTTGCAGTGTAGCTTCTTTTCGTTAGCCTTTGCCAACATGTCTGCTTATACTGTATGTAATGAATTTTTTGTGCTTCACAAATGTTGTCTTGCACAAGTTGTGCTTTACCTGCCTGGGAGTCCTGCTTTACCTAAACAGCAAAAAAAAGGAGCACACTCGACAGTAAACACGATTCCAGGTTCACGACCGCAACAAGACTAAAAAGAGACAGACAAGTCAGTACACAAATCTCCTTTTAGTTTCCTTTATCCAGGTAAGAATATAGCAACAGAACAACAGACGCGTTTCAGCACTAAGGCTTTTTAGTCCTGCTTTACCTGCTTGAGTTGGAGACTTCTAACCCACATCAGCTTCCTTACTCCCTCCTTTAAGGAATTCGAAGTGTTTTTCCTGAAGTGGTCTGTCAAATCGATCCCATTTTATCCTCAACCATCTTACATGCTACATGTTTCCTTACATGCCAGTCATCTATGAGAAAAACGTGTTCAATAATTGCCAACAAAGTGCATTTTTTTAATACCAAATCCAAAGAAGTAACACAAATTACAAAATATGAGTACCAGAGCATAATCTTACTTGCTATAAAGTCTAAAGTGCGTGCCATAATTGCAATGAAGTTCTGTTGGGATATGGAATAAATTTGATAACTGGTACTTTGGAGTGTTATTTTTGCTCAATTCTTTTTAGTTACCAGCTGTATGTCGTTGTACCATTACTATTTAATGTGGGTTTTTTTGCCCTATACTTTACCTTTTTAGCTGATTCTAAAGCACTTAAAAATAAAGTATTTCTAATAATAAATGTAATTTGTTTTCTAGATTGCCAACTCACCATCAGGCCTGTCATCTTCTGCAGATACACAAGGTATGTTAACTAAGAACATTTCCTGAAGTGTTGGACTTTTGAAGAATTTTGATGTTGTGTAATTTATACTTCCAGTGAATTTAATTTCAGTGTACATTGCAGTGTTACTAGTATCTTTAACAATCATTTAATAAATGTCAGGTAAAAATATATGAATTGTTGTTAAAAAAAAGCTCCAACGTGTTTATATACATCAAAATCATGCACTTCTTCATGCGTGTTATAGAAAATAAACAAAATCATATTAGATTAAATGGCCCAAAAAACTAGCATTTTGATGCATTAATACTTTTGTTGCTAAGTGTTTTCACATTTTATTTTCAAAAGTTATCCGAATATTTCCACAACTTGTATCACTGTTGTCACTACTGAGTTCTAAACTTGGGTTAGACAACAATGGGATAAACACTAACCTGCAAAATGTTTGTTCCCAGACCCTCCTGTCTGCGCAAGACGGGAACATAAGGAAACTGGGGAAGTTGTTGATAAGTTGGCGGGACTGAAGAGGACGGAACCCTCTCGACCACCCTCTGCCCCTCCTCCTCTGCCTTTTCCACTGAGAATGCTTAGTCCAAAAACAATCATCGGTAAGAAAGTTATTTTTTCTGTCTTCCAATAAGTATAAGTAATGTGTCTTTGTGCTTTTATTTAGAGTTGCTAAGAGTATGGCTAAGCTTTGGATTTTTTTCTTCAGGTAAATCTCAGTCTACCCATGAGGCTCCTCCGCCTGTGTCACTGGAGAATGATCTCCAAAGCAACAGCACTGTTAACTATGTTAACATCCCCATTATCCCCCTATCAGCTAAAACTCGCCATGAGTCCCTTTACACAGAACTGGACCTGCATGGGACTGGCTCAGTGACAGTCTTGAGTGCTGTCAGACGTAAATATTTGCAGCTCTGAAGACCAAGTACGAACACCGATCATCGGAGGCCATTAAGATGTATATTTGTCTCTTGCTGTAGCAGCCATTTTATGGGAATGTCCAATCCAATGTCTCTGACACCCATGGGCCTACTGCTACATTGTCAAACACAGTGCTGTTGTGAAGGGATAGTTCCTTTTTTGTGCAAGTGTATGAAGTTATATCCCTTTCATAAAACAGGGTATAACTGAACAACCTTGTTGAGTTGAGGCATTTACCATTTTCCAGTTTGTGTACAGATTCTTGCTTAGTATCCCAATAGCTTCTGCCTAATGTATATATTTTATATTTCAGGATGTATATGGATTTTTTTTCAATTCAATATATATTATGTGATTCAATTAAGTACACAATGACAGGGCAAAGGTGTTTATTCATGTACATTTGAATTCAGTTCAGCTTGAAAGCTAATTAGTGGGGTATAGCCAGAAGTTTATTGATTGCAAACAAAAAGAGTGGCATAAAGCAATTTTACTCATGACTCAACATAATCATGTATGAGCAAGAAACAGTAATTTTAATCATTTTATCATCAGATGAGATCGGTTAACTCAATCGAGGGTCAATGGAACACAAGCTGCTCTTAGACTGGTTTGTTTTTCTACCGGTGAAAACATGAAGTTCAGAAAAACATGTAACAAAGAAAAATAAGTGCATATTCTCTGTTTCCCCTTTACAATTTCATTACAAGAAGTATGCCCACCTACATATTATTGCCGTGACAAAAGTTCAGAATGTCCTGACAGAGCATATATCTAGGACAGGAAGAACAGACTGACTCAGCTGGTGACCAGGCAGGTAGAGCCAGCAAAGTGATTCTGACACTTAACTGACTGAAACTAGCTTCCAATGTCAATTCTTCTCTAATTAAAATCATGCCCACATTTATGCCAGTGTACAGAAAAGCCCACTGACCATCCATTCTACAAATAAGAAGAATGAAAATGATATGTCTCAGGGGTCTCGTATGCAGCAGGCGTTTTGGATGTGTTTTGTGTTCAGTTACTGTTTTTTCATTTCATATGGGCTTATGCTCTGTTAGTACTCTCCTGCCTTTGTTTTGATGGCTTTTATTCAGTAAGAGTTACATTTTTAACTATGAAGAGATTTTGAGAGCACATGGAAAATGTATTCCTGAGGAGCCAGTGGACATTAGTGTTAATATTCTAATCAAGGAAAGTCCTTCCCTAATAACCCACAATGTGACAAAGGGGTCAAATGTCAAAATGATGGGATGGCAAACTGTATTTGATTTAGTGATTTAAAAATAGGGACAGAAACATCACCCTTATGATTAGCAAGGCTCTTAAAACGTTTTGAAAGCAAGTTGTGGTCAAAATTCAGCATTTGGCCAAATGTGTGTTGATGACTGAGTTCCTGCATGCCATATATCAATAAAATGTATTTATAACACTTACGTTCTTTTAACTGCATCTTTTTTTATCTGTAAGTCTATTTTGGTTTTAAAGGGAAAATAAAGTGTTTTATTTTGGGGAGGCTGTGTCTCAGGGGTCTCTAAAGCAGAAAGTTGGAGGTTTGATCCCCAGCTCCTGCAGCCACTTGTCCGATTTGTCCAAGTCGCTCCTGCTGCTTCGTCGGTGGCGTATGAATGTGATTAGTTAATACTGATGGATACTTTACATAGCAGCCTCTGCTTTCAGTGTGTGAATGTGTAGGTATGACCTGCGATGTGATAGCGCTTTGAGTAATCAGAAGCAAGAACAGCGCTACACAAACCATTAACATTTCATCCAAAAATATTGAAAATAAAAAATACTTTTTTAGGTTGGTGACAATAGCAACTAACCAACTATTAAAAATAGATGTCACATTTTCATGTTTCTGGGTTTCATTTCTTGTGATCTGAATCTGCAAAGCACCCTGCACTTTATTTTGATTAGAAAAAGTAGAAAAAATGTTTTTAAAATGTGGAGACCAAGTGAATTGATGCTGTACAAGATTATCATATAAATGCACATCTAACAACATGTAAGCCAACCCCTATATTTACCGAGTGTGACATCTACATTTTGCATCTTATTGCTGAACTAACAATCTGTGATCATAAGCCCAGCATATTGAGTGCATGGTTGTGTGTTTTGTATAAATGGCCGACAATTTATTTACACATTAACAAGCAATAAAACGACATCATAAGAAAACAAAGATTTTTTACAGTAGTTGAAGGGGAAGAGACTATCAGTGTACTTTGTTGTTGACAAAACAACTTCAGTTCAATCAACCTTCACTGATTCGATAGCCATGGTCCGGACACCTCAGAGCTCATTGTGCTCGAGTCCATCCCGAGAGATCTTGTTGGACAGGTCCTGCAAGTGTTTCTTCATCTGAAATCAAACAAGTCAAGCCTTTACCTGCAACTCAGTTTGGATCAAAACTGCTCCTTTTAAGTTTTTTACCCAAAACTGTTGTGTTGTAACGGCAATAAAAAAAGAAACCATGTCTCTATGACACATCAGGTACTGTTAAATTGGTTCTCCATTTCGGTGCGCCGATATGTTTATTTAATATACATTATTAATCCCTTAACCAAAATTCTTGTTTACACTCTGTTAGTGAGATACATGCTACTAGCACACATTATTATTGTAAAAACATTATTATCATTATTATTGTTATATGAGCCTTATTCTAAAAAGCACACATAGTTTGTAGTACAGATCTACTTGTTGAAAATGTATAGCTGCTTTCATGCCAGGTGAGGATAATTTCATTCAAATTAAATTTGACTCCAATGAGAGATTTTTGCTTCATTATAAAAACGTTGTGGTGTTTGATAAAAGAATCGATCTACGTTAACTTTCTTTACCTTGTAGCCCATCTCCCTGGTCTTCTCAGCAAGAGAGTTATACTTTTCCTGGTTCCTCTTGATGTGCTCCTTGTCTCCTAAAGCCTCCACATGTTGCAGCTTCTGGTGGGAAAGCTCCAGCTGCTCCTTGTAATGGCTGTGTTTCTCCACCTTGGTCTCAAAGTGATGCAGCTCCTCCTAGGTGAACAAAGAAAGGAGAATATTAGGAAACAAACAGAGGCCCTATGCAGACTGCCTCTTCAAGGCGTGAAATGTACATCCCTGTGACGTTTCACCTTCACTGTGAAAGTCACAGAGAAGTAATGGCGGATAGAAGTGATCCCCCGCATATATTAATGCTGTTGAAACTTTCAATACTTTTTGATTCCACTTGTTTTAAAATGATACAATCCCATTGTTTAATGATCCACAGTACTGAAAGGTAGATAAGCTTTAACTCAAACTACAGATCTTAAGTCATAGTTTAAATCAAGAACTTCTGCAAGAGAATGAGAGAGAGCAGTTAATATTCACAGGTAAGTTTAACTGGATGTTATGTGATCATTAAGATGGAATATTTTAAAATGGGTCTATATCATCATTTTAGGGAAATCTGCACAAATAAAAAATTTCGCTATCAAAACGTTGCCTTTGAATTTGTGCAATTTAGATACTGTGCAGGAGTGCACATTGACAAACAAACCCAAACATGTTTAGGTCACACTTCTTTTTGCAAAGAATGGTAATAAATGATGTAAGAGCTACCTTGAGAGAGTCCAGCTCATCTTCAGTGAGGTTGGCTCTCTTGGCAGCCTCCCATAGGTCGATCACACGTGGCTCCTGAAACTCTACAGAGAAAAAACGATGCATGAGAGATATAAAGTGACAATCATCCCTTTGTGACACTTTAAAGTGGGAGGGAGCTTGTAATAGAAACAGTAACAGCAGATGTCTTATAAGAAACAAGACAACAACAAGTTCAATATCAAATAGAAGAAAACTGCTGGTGTTCACAACTCAGCTTGAGGTGCTGTCAATATAACTTCTCTTCACAACTCAATAAGTGTGTGTGTGTGTGTATGTGTATGTGTATATATATATATATATATATAGTATGAACTATACATTATTCAAATTTACTATGAATAAAATATGTTTTTTTAATGCCTGTCATCATTGCCAATGAATCAATGTGACTTAAAACATGCTACCATAAGAGGCTTTGTTTACATTGTCCCCTTTTTAAAGTTATAAGAATGTAGGATGAGATTTTCCATTTTAAAAAATACCACACTGGCATGTAAAGGCTAAGATATTCTATATTCAACTGTAAAGAAGCTCTACTTAGTCTGCAATGGCCAAAACTATTGGCAAAAAATGAAAATCCCTCTAAGTATCTTTAAATAACTGCTACCAGTCATGGTTCAAATTAAAAACCACAGTCAAAATCAAGCTCTGAAAAGCATAACAAAACAAACAATTTCTTAAGGTAACTTTTGTGTTATGGTAAATTAAACGGCAAAATCAACAAACTACTCGGTCCTGCACTAGGCGTAATAGGAAAAGTGGACATCACCACAATACTTTCAATGCAGTTTCTAGTATAAATTTGCAATTCATTTAGACCACTTTCTCCAAGTGTCTGTAGTCAAAAACGTGTGAATGCCAAATCAAATTCTGACTTATTCTCAATCATCTAATTGAGACAGATATGGTTTGTCTGGTCATCCTCCAGTACAACTTTTGTTCAATCTAACGGTGATACAAATAAAGTATACATCTGTAGTATTGAGAATGTGACTGTTAGCAGTATATCACGTTTGTCTGACAGCAGTAACCAAACAGCAGTAAAACCCTGATCTTAGGAGGGGATACACTGTGTCTATATACATTCATCAATCCATGAAAAAGTATTTCAATACACTGTCCAAAGAGTCAGTCATGCAGGTATAGAAGCAAATCCTTTATAGAAGTTCCATCTTATAGAAAAAGATCAACAAATATTTTGGTACTGTTCAGAAATTCAAATATGAAAATACTAATTTTTAGGAATATAATGCCAAATGTCTTTATAGGATTAGGGTACACCTGAGACTTTTTAAACTCCCCGTCATTGTGCTTGATATCAAATGATTGCAAATTGATTTGAAATATTTGTCCATAAACAAAACATTGCATTTAAGATCTAATTTGTATGATGAAAACGTATTTTGTATGTCAATGTTTTTTATGGATATTTATAATATCATGTTTAATTATTTATGATGTCCTAATAAATAGAAACATTTCTCTTGTAAGCTCTTTGGTAAAAAACAATGCCTGAGATGGAAGAAGTCTTAACTAAGTCTTAAGAAGAATATTAACTTAGGTAAAACTTTAACATTCCAAAAACACTTTCAAAGGTTTAAACATGTACAAAATATTTTCATAATTAATATTAACATACATTAATAATTTCATGTGAGAAGTTAAATTATTGTGCTAGTGGAGGAGGCCTTCGTTTCTGACAAATTAAGCAAATGAGGAAGTGCCTTTACTGCATTCATTCAAAAGGTCAGTGGAGGATTGACCCAACTTGTTACATTCTGTAAGAATACACAGTAACCCTTCATTTGTTGTTGATAAATAATCTCACTAAAAATGTCCCTAATGAGCATACTGTATTTGGTATATGGTTTCCAGTCTTCTCTAATATACCATGGTGTTAATTTAGTAAATTATCCTCCAATGTAAACATAAAAAAAGAAGATTAGTCACCTTATGTTTAAGGGGTGTGTAGCTACCACATTAAACTCGATACAGAAGTAGTCAGAGTACTAATGTCCACTGGCGTTTCAGCAGGCATTGCCTGTGAGCAAGCTAGGGCAACAAACTGTAGATAGCAAATTGGGCAGAACACAATATGCTGTGCTAATGCAATCCTCGAAACCGTTCTTAGAACATGACTCTCTTGACTTCAACTCCCAGAAGCTATGTCATCTGAAGATAGCAGATGGGTTTCAAGATTGACATTTTATATCAGTGTGAAAGCTGCCTTGTTCAGCATTTGATGTAGTCAGAAAATACATTAAAAAGAAAAAAACATCTAAAAGTGTAACTTTCTTTTCCTTTAAAAGAGGGCAGCAAACATACAACAAGCTGTGTGTGTGTGTGTGTGTGTGTGTGTGTGTGTGTGTGTGTGTGTGTGTGTGTTCTATCTCACCACTGTCTTCAGCAAAGCCCTCGTGGCTGAGCTTACGGAGGCGCTCAAAGCCCTGGTTGAGGTCTCTCATTTTCAACTTGAGGTCTTTGTGCTTCTGGTGCAGCACATGCTCTTTGGCATCACCCTCCAGGGGAGAGATTACATTCTTGTGTACTTCTGTTGGGGTGAACAGATGAAGGGAAAAGAGATGAGGATAGGAGCCGACACAGCCAAACAGTCAAAAATCAGTTGAGGAATACACAAAAAAAAAATATGGAGGAGAAATAAAATAAAACATACAAAGAACAGAGTATCATTTGATAAGAGGCTTTGTAGTAGCTTATGAAATAACACATTTTTGTCATTGTACACGGGACTGGTTTTTTATTCATAATTCACATTTCTTCAGACATGAAAGAAAAACAGCTTT